GACTTTATTTTGGCAGACAGACTGACTTCTTTAATTTGGTTGTACTTATGCACACATGTGCATGTGTGTATATGTGTACCCATCACTTGCAATTGTTTGACTCTCTAAATACAGGGTTGGGCAGAAGTAGGTTTACAGATGTTCGTATGGAAAATAAAACAATCTTATCTATTAAAGAGGGAATATGCTAATTACCCTCATGCTGTCGCAAAGATGGTGGCTCCCACAGCCAATAAGGAGGGAATATGCTAATTGACTGCCCCGCCCTCAAAGATGGCGACGCCCACAGCCACAAGATGGCGGCACCTAGTCCCCTCAGCCCCCCAGTCGCTCAGGGCCGGCCCAAGGCACAGGCAAGCCTTCGATGGTGGCTGCCCAGCCGCCCAGGGCCGCCTGAGGCTCAGGTAACCAGGGCCGGCTGAGGCTTGCACTGTCAGCAGTGGCAGCAGCAGAGGTGTGATGGGGGTGTCGCCTTCCCCTGATCACCGGGTCACCTCCTGCCCCTGAGGGCTCCCAGACTGTGAGAGGGGGCAGGCCGGGCTGAGGGAACCCCCCTCCAGTGCATGAATTTTCATGCACCGGGCCTCTAGTAATTAATAAATAATAATACAAGAATAAACTGTGTTTCACATACTCACAACTGTAAACCTATGTTTGTCCCACCCTATATATTTCTTGTATGTATGAGTGGATGTATGATTTACACATGTGTACAAGAAAGAATTTGTGTGCAGAATGTTTCTGCACATGTACCCTCTCACATGTCTGGGAGTCTGTGTATGTATTTCAGAAGTGGGTGTTTTGCCCTAACTGGTTTGGCTCAGTGGATGGAGCGTCGGCCTGTGGACTGAAGGGTCCCAGGTTCGATTCCGGTCAAGGGCATGTACCTTGGTTGCGGGCACATTCCCAGAAGGGGCTGTACAGGAGGCAGCTGATCAATGTTTCTCTCTCATAGATGTTTCTGACTCTCTATCCCTCTCCCTCCCTCTCTGTAAAAAATCAATAAAATCTATTTTTAAACAGAAGTGTGTGTTTCTAAGTATGCACTTGTGTATGTCTCTTCAATTCAAACATGAGTCTAGGTGTATGTTTGTTCCATGTCCCTGCTGTGTCCATGTGTGTTCTGGTGAGCCTCTGAGTACTTGATGTGCATGTGTGAGTATGGGTATGTCCTCTGTGTATCTGTGTATATTCGAGCAGACTCTGTGTATGGACACTAGCAGTCCTCTTCTCACTTAGGTCCCCTCAGCTCTCAGGCAGTGTAACCTCATTCTTCCTCCTGTGGCTGTTTCCATTGTTTCTGTCCCCTTCTCCAAATGTTGAAATTAAGTAAATGCAGCAATTAAGTGGAGTTCCCCAGACAACCATCCTACCAGGATCCCCTTCCAGGAGCTAAATGAGCACATGCACACCCACGCATAATACTATCCAGGCACACCAGAGCCCCCAGGCTGCAATGGCGTTAAGGCACCATTGAGCTGCACACAAACAGCATAGGAGGGTTCTGCTTCATTTGTACTATCCTTCAGGTTTCAGCATGAAGGTGCCCTCCTGCAGGAAGCCACCTTAACTCCCTAGGGGCCTGCTTCTGGGGTCCCACACCTGTTTGCTTTCCCCATCAGAGGCCAGACTACTCTGAGCTGTCTGGAGATGTGTCTTTCCCTCTTTTGGAATGTGAGCACAGTGAAGGCAGGACCTAATGCTATCTCAGTTGCTACTTTTGCTGCAGTGTCATCTAGCTCACAAATCTACAGTAAATACAGAACTAGCATCTTTGCCTCTGCCTGTCTCTGTTTCCAAACACCTCTTTATGTCTCCGAGTACTTTGGTCTCTTTGGCACATACTTGGGTTGCTATATCCTCTCAGTCCACCAGGTTTTTTCATAGCTGTAGTGGGCAGATCCATGCACATTGCAGATATTCCCGGTTTACTCCAGTGGTTCTCAAAGTGTGGTCCCTGGACCAACAGCATTAGCATCACTCAGGAACTTGTTAGAGATGCAAATATTTGGACCCCCCCTCAGACTTACTGAATCAGAAACTCTGGGGTTGGGGCCTGAAGGTCTATGGTTAACAAGTCCTTCAAGTAATTCAAATGCAGCTAGTGTGTGAGGATCACTGGTCTAGCTCACACAAGACATCCCTCCCTCCTCTTCTGCCTCAGATTGTTAGGGGCAGAAATAGAATATTGGAAATGAATTATAATGAAAAGAAATATTAATCATGCTTTGATAACCATGATGGTCCTGTTCTGATTACAAAGCACATTTTCACTTGGCTGAGACATGGGAGCTAACATTGGGATGCAGTCCATTCTCCTTCTGAGAACTGCCTATCATTATGGAAAGATTTACAACCTGGTAGCTGAGACAATCTAGTCCTGGAGGCACCTGCTCTTGACAACCCCCGGCCCTATTGCCTGTAATCCTGTCCCAGGGCTCCCAGAGGCACTCACCCTCTGTGACACCCCCCCCCCCCCGCCCCAGCCTGCATGACTTGTATCCTGTAATGATTATCCTGTGCCTACTTTCCCATTCCTGTAATTCCCACTTTCCCATGTAATCTTTGCCCTTCTACCCAATATAAGCAGCTGGCTTATGGTGGAGTGGAGCAGATTTTTGTTGATAACCTGCTGCTCTCCCATAATGCTGGCATTATTGGAATAAACGCTGATATATGATTAAATCCTGTCTGCTTAATTGGCTGAAATAGAAACAGGCAGCCTGGACCCCTTGGTTGTCCTGTTACAAGATTGGGATGGTTCTCAGTACTACCCCCCTCCCCACAAAGGGGCAATCATCACCCAAGGTGGTAAGAATGGATGGATAATGCCCCAGCCTCTCTGAATTTTGCAGGTGGGAGGGAGAGGGGAAACGACAAGTCTGTGTTCTACACAGTTCCTTAATGTTCCCCAGAAGAACTGAGCCCTAGTTGCCCAGAAAGGTAACTTGTTTTTCATCTCCACCTTCTTCTCCACTTTCTTCTTTCCCTGTTTCATTCTGCTTCCTCCCTCGCCCATTTCCTGGGTTTCCCATCCCCCAAATAAACCAGTTCTGAATTCTAATCCCACTCTTCTCATGGCATTATCTTCGGGTGTTTCCCTCTGTCTCCCCTCACCTTCACCATTTCTGTAGCATCCTTAAAGCTGTCCTTTTTCTGAGTGTCTGCAAAACCGTATCCACTGTGCTGGTCCAGGAGCATGATGAACTTTGCTAATGATCTGGAAAGATGGGCCCTTGAGCTGAGTTTATTTTAGCTGCAATTTTTCAATACACATAAGTGGAAGGAGCCTAAAGTCTGTTATGAAGCTTTCAGCAAAGTTAGGGCCACCAAAGTGGGTGACCCTGTCCCCAAGAAGGTCACTTTATTCCTCCACTCAGATGAGGGTTCCCAGAGGTGGTTTATGACCATCCAGGTTCCACTAGGCTAGGGCCATGGCCTTAGCCAAGGCTGTGTTCCCTTCAGACCAGGGCTCTCAAAAGATCAGGTCCTCCCTGTTACTATAACCACGTTCCCAGGTCAGGCTTGTAGACCACTTCCCACATCCCTCTTCCTGCAACACCATCACCATGAGACATGTGGGACACCCCACATTACCCTCCCTATCCTCTCACAAGCATCAGGATAGGCAGACACCAGTCCTGGTGAGTCATGTGTTAGTACAATTCCAGTAGGTCCTCTGGGGCCGTAAATGTGAGTGGAGAGGGGAACTCAATGGATACACTTCTCTGGGTCAACCTAGCAAGCCCCTGCCTCTGTCCCATTTCCTATCTCCTTCTTCCATGGGATATTTGGTCAGTGTATCTTTTTTGTTTGGTTGTTTTTTGTTAATCCTACCCTGGAGATGTTTTTTCCATTGCTTTTCAGAGAGAGTAGAAGGGAAGGAGGGAGTGGGAGACAGAGAGAGAGAGAAAGAGGGTGGGGGGGGGAGAGACATCAACTTGAGAGACACATTGACTGGTTGCCTCCCTCGTGTGCTCCCATCGGAGGCTGGGAGGGAACCTGCAACCGAGGTACATGCCCTTGGCCAGGAATTGAATCCAGGACCCTTGAGTGCACAGGACAACACTCTAACCACTGAGCACGCCGGCTAGGACTAGTCAGTGTGTCTTGATGTCTGGCTCCAAGTCCAGAGGGCACAGTCTTGAAGTCAGATTTCCCCGTTTGCAGCCAGGGCAAGGAGTCTTGGGGAGGAGTAGTCCCTCCTCTGGCCCGAAAGGTCAGTCCTGTTTGCTGGGCAGGGTCCAGGTCAGGAAGCTCCACTTGTGGAAAGGACATCAGAGAGGTGGTGCTGAGACAGGGGACAGAAGGAGACAGGTTTCGGGGGCCAGGGACTCTGGGATGGAAGGCCACAGTCAATGCTCTGAATGAGAACTGGGCTCGCGCGCGCACACACACACACACACACACACACACACACACACACACGAACACATACCCATCCTCACAGCTGAGTTGGCCCAGCTCAGTTCCCCCACTATGTCTCTTTGACTTTCTCTATGTCTTTGTCTTCCTCAGTCTCTGACTTGTCCTTGACTCCTCTCTGTTTCTCTCTGGGTCTCTCAGTGTCTCTTTGTATTTCCACCGCTCCTTGAATATGTCTGTGTCTTTCTCTCTGTCTCTGTCTTTCTCATTCTACTTCTCTCTGTCCCCCCAATCGAAGGCTGTCCATATTTTCTGTCTCTGTCTCTATCTCTGTGTCTCTGTCTGTATCCCAGGATTCTTGCTCCCAAGCAACGCCCGGGCGATTCCCTGGGAGGCGGGGGCGGGGATGCGCCTTTGAAAACGGGAGGGCAGCCTACACCTTTAAGCTCGGGCGCGCGCCGAGCCTGCGCCTTTAAGCGCGGGCGCGCGCGCGGCCCTGGGTTCCCGGCGTGGAGGCCGCGGGAGCACCCGGCCCGGCCTGCCTGCCCAGCCCCCGCCCCGGCCCCCGCCCCGGCCCCGGCGGGGGAGGGGTCTCTGAGAACGGCCCCTCCCCCCTGCGCCCCTCCTGCGCTGCGGTGCCCTCACCCGGCGTGCCCGGGTCTGCTCGCCCCACCCCGGCCCCCGGGGCTTCCTGGCCGTCCCCTCCCCCACCGCAGCCGACCCCTTCGCTCCTGGCCAGCCTCCGCCACACACTGGGAAGCAAGCTGGTAGCCTGCACCACAGACCCTGCAACCCGACATCGGGGGCCTGCACTCTGAGATTGGACCCAGAGATCTGGAAACAGGGACCCCAAGACAGGAGTCTGAACACCAATATCTGGGGCTGGAATCTCAATATCAGTCGCTGAGAACCCAACATTTGGAACCTGAGCCCCAAGACTTGGAATATGGATCCCAACATTTGGAGCCTGAACCTCAATATTTGGAATCTAAATCCCCCAATGGAGCTAAACTCTGAATTCTGTGCCTGAGACCTTGAAATCTGGGATGGGATTCCTGTGTCTATTCCCCCAGAATCCACTACTTGGGACCTGAACCCTGAGATTTAGGCCTCAAATTCCAAGATCCGAACCCTGGCATTCCAAGGGGCCTAAACCTGAGTTCTGGCCTGAAGTCCTTGCTGCAAACCCGAATGCTGAAATCTGGGACTAGAGACCTCCGAAACTTGACTTAGCAACCCCAATAACTGAGCCCAGCACCCCAGTACCAGACCCCAGGACTGGACTTAGGACTTAGACCCTAAACTCTCCATTTGGCTGTTTCGTATCCCAAGGCTGGAGCTGGGTGACCCTGACTCTGAACGACCTAAAGGGGTGCCTGGGTCTCTAAAATTGGACCCTAGTTGCCCAATATTTGGGGATCTGAGACTCTAAGTACCAAGGTCTAGAGACTCCATGACCACATATATAAGCTGAGACACGAGGACAGTCCCTCTACAAAGGCCTTGGGGACAGGAAGGAACAACTGAGCACCCCCTCCAGAGCCCTGACCTTTGACCCCCTGGGAGCCTGAAGACTCTGCTCCCTGGGACGCTTCCAACTCAGGTAAGGCTATTGGGAGGGAGTTTCTCAGTGACTCCCATCATGGGGAGGGACTAGAGAGGAACTTTGTGGCTGGGGATGGGGGTAGGTAAGGACCATGTACCCTGGGAATCCTCAGGGTTTCTCCCAGAAACAGACACCCCCACCCATGGGTCTACCTCCAGTTCCTCTGCCTCAGACACTCTGGACATTTGGCCAGCCCTGCCCCTCTCTGATCTCCTCTTCCCCAGTTGATGGGATCTCTAGGTCTGTGACCCACTCCCAGTAGGTCTTCTAACTTCTTCCCACCATGTATCTTGTCTGACCATCTCCAACCACCTCTCCTGCCTGCCTCTCCTATCCACCACTCCTGTTTTTCTCCACCTCTCTCTCTGACCATCTTTGACACTTCTGTCCACATCTCCTCTCTGTGGCCACCTCTGGCCACCACTCATCTCAGTAACCATCTCTGTCCACCTCTTCTGTCGTTGATCGTCCACAGCCCTGTCCACAGCTTCTCTCTCTGGCCACCTCTATCTACTGCTCCACTCAGTGACCACCTTTGATATCTTAGCTGCTCTCTAGTCATCTTCCATCGGCTCTCTTGCCCTTCTCTGGCTCTGACTCTCAGCTGTGGTCTTTGACTGTCTGACCATTTTTGTCATCTCTGTCTACGACTCTTCTCTCCAGCCACTTCTGTCTGTCTATTCTCCGGCTTCCTCTGTCCACATTTCCTTTCTCTCTTGCCCTCCTCCCACTCCTGACCCTAATTGCCAGTTGACAACCATCTGACCATCTCTGGCCTTTACTGACTACCTCTCTTCTCTGTTTCTGTGATCATTTCTAATATCCCTGGCTGCCTTCCCTCTGTCTGATGACCTCTCCTCACACCCATCGCCCAGCTGTCCTCTCCTCCTGACTGGCTTGTGACCATTTCTGACCATCTTTTACCATCTCTCCTAGATCTGACCACCCCTGACCACTTCCTCTCTCTTTGTCCACCACTTATCTTCTTGATTATCTCTAACCATCTTTCTTCTCTGGTCATTTTCAACTACTTCTGACCACCTCTTCTCTCTTTAGCCATCCTTGACCATCTCTTGGTGACTATGTCTAAAACCCTCTTGCTAATCTTCTAATCACTGCCACCCTGACCAACCCTCCCATTCTCTCACCATCTCTGGCCATTTCTACTCACCTCCCTGCCTTCTGACCATCTTTGTTCATTTCTGCTCCCTCTGTCCTCCCATGATACATCTGAGTCTTTGACCATCTTTTCCAGCTTTTTAATATGTCTGACCCTTCCTCTGACCGTCATTAACCAACTCTTCTGCTCTTAGCTCATTGTGACCTTTTCTCCTGGTCTTGGACCACCCCAGCCCCCTCTGGTACCCCTCTTCTGACCTCAGCCTGCCCTAATGCCTCCCTTCTTCCTTGCAGGCCACCGCTGCCCGAGATGGCCGTCCTCCCGCTGCTCCTTTGCCTGCTGCCGCTGGCCCCTGCCTCATCTCCACCCCAGCTAGCTACACCCAGCCCGTGTCCCCGTCGCTGCCGCTGCCAGACACAGTCACTGCCCCTAAGTGTGCTGTGCCCAGGGGCAGGCCTTCTATTTGTGCCACCCTCGCTGGACCGCCGGGCAGCCGAGTTGCGCCTAGCGGACAACTTCATTGCGGCTGTGCGTCGCCGTGACCTGGCCAACATGACGGGCCTGCTGCATCTGAGCTTGTCACGTAATACCATCCGCCATGTGGCAGCCGGTGCCTTTGCTGATCTTCGCGCCCTGCGTGCTCTGCATCTAGATGGTAACCGGCTAACCTCACTGGGCGAGGGTCAGCTGCGTGGCCTGGTCAACTTGCGCCATCTCATCCTGAGCAACAACCAGCTGGCAGCCCTGGCAGCTGGTGCCCTGGACGACTGTGCCGAGACACTTGAAGACCTCGACCTCTCCTACAACAACCTGGAACAGCTGCCCTGGGAGGCTTTGGGCCGCCTGGGCAATGTCAATACATTGGGCCTCGACCACAACCTGCTGGCTTCTGTGCCTGCTGGCGCCTTTTCCCGCCTGCACAAGTTGGCACGGCTGGATATGACCTCCAACCGCCTGACCACCATCCCACCTGACCCACTCTTCTCCCGCCTACCACTGCTAGCCAAGCCCCGGGGGTCACCTGCCTCTGCCCTGGTGCTGGCCTTCGGTGGGAACCCCCTGCACTGCAACTGCGAGCTGGTGTGGCTGAGGCGGCTGGCGAGGGAGGATGACCTCGAAGCCTGCGCCTCCCCACCTGCTCTGGGTGGCCGCTACTTCTGGGCTGTGGGTGAGGAGGAGTTTGTGTGTGAACCCCCTGTGGTAACTCACCGCTCACCACCGCTGGCAGTGCCTGCTGGTCGGCCAGCTGCCCTGCGCTGTCGGGCTGTGGGGGACCCCGAGCCCCATGTGCGTTGGGTATCACCCCAGGGCCGGCTGCTGGGCAACTCGAGCCGCGCTCGCGCCTTCCCGAATGGGACGCTGGAGCTGCTGATCACTGAGCCGAGTGATGGAGGCATCTTCACCTGCATTGCGGCCAATGCAGCTGGCGAGGCCACGGCTGCTGTTGAACTAACCGTGGGTCCCCCACCACCACCCCAGCTAGCCAACAGCACCAGCTGTGACCCCCCGCGGGACGGGGATCCTGATGTCCTCACCCCACCTTCTGCTGCCTCTGCCTCCGCCTCCGCCAAGGCAGCAGACACTGGGCCCCCTACTGACCGTGGTGTCCAGGTGACTGAGCATGGGGCCACAGCTGCTCTCGTCCAGTGGCCAGATCAGCGGCCTATCCCAGGCATTCGCATGTACCAGATCCAGTATAACAGCTCAGCCGATGACATCCTCGTCTACAGGTGCAGTGTCCAGGCAGTGGGCAGCTTGGGTGGGGGAGTTAAGTGGAGGGAGGGTTAGAGATATGTCTACTGATACCCAGGCTGCAACACAGCTGAGAAATGAGGCTGCAGACTTACAAAGAAAATCAGACAGCAAAGATAAAAGAAACCAGGCAGAGAGAGTAAAAAGGAATCTGGCAGCAGTGTTAAAAAGAAATAAGGCAGCAAAAGTAATAGTAACAAACATATAAAGGAAATTAGGCAGAAGAGTAAAAAGTAACCAGGCCAAAAGAATAAAGAGTCGATGGAGAAGGGCAAGTTTGGGGAGATACAAGCAAATTTAAGTAGTAAAGGAAAAGAGGTGTTTCCAGATGACAGGGCTAGATACAAGATAGGCTGCAGGAAGAAAAAGAGATCAAGAAGGTACAGTGATCATGGGAAAAATGAAATGAGTCAGCCTGCTGCAAAGGCACTCAGACCAGAGGTTAAAAGGAAAATGGGAAGGAAGTTAAACAGATTTCACTTTGGGTTTGTGCAGTGTGGACTGCTCCACATATTTGGAGTTCTTATATGCAACATCTCAATTTTTTTATTTTCTAAAACAAATTAAACCTAATTCAAGCTCCACCTGCTAGGTGAGCAGGAATGTTCCGTTTGCCACTGTTGGGGATTCCCTTCTCTCTTCTTCTGTTGCAAACACAAAACCTGGGGCTTAAATACTCCAAGAGATGGGCCAGTGTAATTTCTGCCCCTGAGCTGGAGAGTACCTGGAACATCTGCTGTGGCCTCGTGTGGTCTGTAGTTTTGGCACTGAGATGGGTGCTGCTGACACCTCTCACCCAGTCCGGCCTTGCATGGATAGCTGTGGATGGCTCCCTGTTCTCACTGCCAGGCTGAGCCAATGGTGCAGTCCCCACATCCTGGCTGTGGAGAACTGGGCCTCCTAAGACTTGGGGTCTGCACCTGTAAACCTAGCATCTGGGTCCTGTTTCCCTCCTCAGGGACCCCAAGAGATAATCACTTGATCTCCTTTTCAGTCTTGGAAATCTAGTAAGCTCATTCCACTCTCTTTCATAGGCAGTGTGCTCAGTAGATTCCATGGAGGGTCCACACCTGAAAATCACACATATTCTGTCCACTGTGCCTGGCAGGGGATGGGACAAATGCTCTCCTAGATAGTCACCCTCCCAGAGACAATCACAGAGTTTCCTGTACCTCCCTCATTAAAGCAATTTAAGAAGAAAACGTTATAAAACAAGTTAAATCTCCAACAGAGTGCTCTACTACAAAAGGTAGTATAGTGGAATTGGGTGTTAGAGAAAGTAAGCAACAGAGAGAAAAAGAATCAGAAGGCAGAGCTGGAAAGAAATAAGGCAACAGAAAAAAATCAGCAGTGGTGACTGAGACACATCAGTTTAATGAAAATGGTATCAGATGACAGGACTCACTGGAAAGCAGGTTATAAATATAATAAGACAATGGGACTAGGAAGGTGTTCATTGGCAGGCTAGAAGGAAATCAGGCTCAGTGATATGGAGGAATCCGGTGGTTAGATTAGAAAGACTCTAACTACACTAGAGGCAAAGAGAAATCGGCACAGGCTGGAGGGAAGTCAGAAGTTAGAGGGAAATTGGATATGGGGTTAGAAGGAAATGGGAATTGGGTTAGAGGGAGCTCACAGAGGGCAAGGATGCAATTGGGCGGTGAGCTAACGAGATTTCTGGCAGTAGGGCTGGAAGGAGCTCAGGTGGTAGCCTGATGGGAAATAGGGTGAGGGACTGAAGGAACGCAGACAGTGAGGTAGGGGAGAACAGGGTGGGGGGACCAGAGTGAAATTAAGTGGTGGAGTGGAGCAAAATTGGGCAGCAAAGTTAGAGGGACCTTCGGTTGCAGGCTGGTGGGAAATTGGGCTGGCAGTGCAGGGTGGACGTCAGGCAGCTGGGTATTAAATGAAACAGGACTGGGAGAACTCAAGCAGTGGGCCCCAGAGAAATTGGGCAGCGAGGCGAGAGTGAAACTAGGCAGCAGAGCAGAGGGGAAGGGGGCAGTGGCACTGGAGGGAATTGGAGCTTGGGGACTAAAGGAAGATCAAACTGGGGGATCTGAGAGGAATGTGACAGTAAAATTAGACGGTGGGCTGAGGTAAAATTGGCTGGCAGACTGGAGGCGTATCAGTCAGGCCACTGACTGGGTGTCAGACTAGAGGGAATTCCAGCAGTGGTTAGAGGGAATTCAGAGGTTAGAGTGAAATGCAACAGCTGGTCTGGGGAGAAATTCTCTGGACGGGAGGGCGGGGATGGAGTGCAGGGTGGGTGCTGGCAGCTGGAGTGACCTCTACCTGCCTGTCCCTCCAGGATGATCTCAGCCGACAGCCGATCCTTCCTGTTGACAGACCTGGCGTCCGGCCGCACCTATGATCTGTGCGTGCTAGCAGTGTATGAGGACAGCACCACGGGGCTGACAGCTACACGGCCGGTTGGCTGCGCTCGCTTCTCCACAGAGCCCACACTGCAACCCTGCGGGGTCCCGCATGCACCCTTCCTGGGTGGCACCATGATCATCGCGCTGGGTGGTGTCATCGTGGCCTCAGTACTGGTCTTCATCTTCGTTCTGCTTATGCGCTACAAGGTGCACGGTGGCCAGCCCCCCGGCAAGGCCAAGGCACCCGCACCCGTCAGCAGCGTTTGCTCCCAGACCAACGGCACCACACAGGCCCCGTCTGCTCCTGAGCCCTCCGCACCGAGGGCCCATACCATGGTCCAGCTGGACTGTGAGCCCTGGGGGCCCAGTCACGAACCCACAGGACCCTAGCCTCGTGCCCACCAAGGGGTGGCAGGACCTAAGCCCCCTGTGGGACCTGGCCTCAGACTCACCAAATTGTTCACGGTTTTTAAAACTCTGATGGGGAGGGTGTCAGGGGCACTGAGGGGCACAACAAGAAAGTCCTATTTTTCTAAGCTTGGGCCTGGGCCCTTGCCCTTGTCTCTGTCTGTGGGAGTTGGGAGGATCATGCAGGGCCTGGAGCTGGGGATGCCTCTTCTGGGGAGAGATCTACCTAGTTCTGTCCAAGGTCCCTGGATGTGGCTGAGGATGGTCATCCATTTAGTCAACAGACATTCCTTGAGCGTTGTCTCTGAGCACGTCCTGTGATGGGTGATGCTGTGGTGACTCTGACAGCCCCAGCTCTGCCCTCAGACAGTGATCAGAGATGTGGTCATGAGGGAAGCCTGGGAGATTGTGGGAGCCCAGGAAAGGGGCCTGACTCAGCCTAGGAAGAGCTTCCTGGAAGAGAGATGGGACCTGAGAATTCTCTCTGAAGGAGATAACTGGCCCAGAGCAGAGGGAAGGGTGTTCCAGGCAGAGGGCACAGTACAACCAGGGGCTTCGTAAGTGCCAGACATTGGGGGTGCTGTGATAGAGGAGAGGTAGGAGGGGTGAGCAGGGTCCAGGCTTTCCGGGCGGAGGAGCTCAGACTCTGGCCGGACAGTATTGGGAAGCCATGGAAGATTTAATGCAGAGGAGGACAGCGTCAGGTTTGGGCTTTAGGAAGATCCTTCTAGCTGCCATGGGGAAGGTGGACCAGAGGGGAAACCTGATGTAAGGAGCCTGGGGGGGAGCCAGGGTAAGGACCTGTGTGAGTAAGGACAAGACTGGATCAGGGAGGGTGGGGCTGGGGAAAGCAGTTGGGCTGGGTGAGGGGACATTCAGGAAACTTGAGTGGCTGAGTTATGGAACTGAAGAACCACGGGGGAGGGAAGTGTCCAGGATGAGGCCCAGGGCTCTGGCCAAGGGAGGGACACCGGAGCTGCTATGATACTGGACCAGGGAGAAGGGGCAGATTTGGGGAAGATGCCAAAGCCAGTGGGACTTGGTGGATGTGGAGTACCCAGAGGGCATCCAGAGGTGATTGGCAGGGGGCCTTGGCCTCTGGACTTTTCATGTCTAAGGGACAGACAACGAAAAGCCTAGACTAAACAGGAGCAGCAGGTGGAGGGACATAGAAGCACACTGGGCAAGTCAGACCCAAGTTATTCTTATGTTTAATGATATCCAGGCTGCCGTGAGAGTAGTGTTAGGGGTTCAGTTGGACAGATGCCAGACTCCGCTGATTTGAAAGTAGGAGGTAAGAAAGTATAGAGAGGGAGTGTAGACCTGCCATTCTGTGGGCCTAGAGCCTGGTCCAGGTTGATCTGGACCTTTCTGCACATCTCTCCAGGGCTGGTCCTCACTGTCTTGAACTGCCCTAGGCTCCCCTCAGATACTAAGAGGTTCGGAGGACCAAACCCTGGGCCTTGGAAATATCAGGCCTCATTGGAGATCCCGGAATGGGATTAGCAGGAAGAGGAATAGTGCTCCTTGATCTCAAGCTACTCTTTGGTGGGTTCAGAGGCAGAGATGTGGAGGGACCTTGGGTCCTATCAGTATTCTCTGGAGTGATGCTGATGTGAGGAGCAGGGTGAAGTGGGCCCAAGACCAGACTGGCCGTTCTCATGTGGGGCGCCACAGCTTTGTGGGTGGGTGTAGGTCTTGGAAATGACTTTCCATTGGCCATGGAACACCTGGGTCCCAGGGATCTGGCCTGACTCCCATCGTTAGGTCCTTCCTTTTGTTATCCTCCGGTGGCTGAGGCCAGGAGCAGCCATCGGGGACAGTGAGGTATCTTGAGAAAAAGGCCTAGGGAGGAGCAGGTTTGGATACCTAGAACCAGTTGCTGCCATGAGGGGGAGCCAGAGTGCACTGTTCCTCAACCCTGTTTTTAAAATACTAAGTTACTGCGTGCCTACTTGTGCTACATGCTGGGGATTCAGTAATGAACAGATACCGGCCTGTCCTGCCCTCATTTACCTCACCATCGGGTGGGGAAACAAATGTTAAATAATCACAAAAGCAAGTGTAAGCATCGGTGGTGACAAGTGGGGCCATGCAGGGATCCATGGAACCGTGAGACCTGCAGCCAGGGGACCTGGCCCAGGAAGAGAGGTTGAGGGAGGCTTCCTGGAGGAAGTGATGCCTTGGCGAGACCTGAAGGATGATCAGGTTGGAGTTAACTACACAAGGAATGGAAAGGGCATTCCATGCAAATGGAACAGCATGTACAGAAGTTCAGGAGCTGAGGGATGCATGGTGAGGGAAGGGCTGAAAGAGGCCATGTGCTGGAGTATGGTGGGGAAAAGGAAGTGATGCCGTGTTGACTTGAGAGTAAGAAGGGGACAGGTGATGCAGGCTACTGTAGGCTACTGGGAAGGGTCTGGGTTTTATTCTAAGCGGCATGAGAAGCCATCGGAGGGTCTTGAGCAGTGAGGAGAGTTGTCCTTTCTAATCCTAAAGAAACTCCAGTGGCAGGTCTGTTTGCATGTGGGAACTAAAGTAAAGCAGGGAGACCAGGGAGGAGGCTAGTGTAATGGTCCAAGCAGAAGGCGTGGGGCCTGAGTGGATGGATTGGAGAGAGATTTGAGACTACTTCACCAGAAGCCTCCATCCCCTATGCAAGTGATGATAGTCTAGATCACTGTCCAGCTACCTGGTTTTCAGGCAAGATTGCTGAGACTGGGGAAGAAAGATCCATTCCTTACATGGGGGAGCTGGCCTCTCTGAGGCATAGGAATTAATGACCTTTTCCACATTCAAGTACCAGGCAAACAGTAGGTCAAGACTCTGCAAGGCAGAGGCTGTGGGTGGTTGTGGGGGATGTGAACACGGGAAATGTGAGCCCAAAAGGGGGACACACCTGGTGGTAGCTTATTACATGTTTGGAAGCAGGGAGGATAGAAGGAGGTACATAGGAGTAGGCTGGTCCTTCCAGCATGGTACCCCCGTAGGCTCCTTCACAGGATGCCTGGACCATCTCCCAGCCCTATGCAGAAACAATACAAGTGGACAAATGGTCACATGTATCTAGAACAGTGGTTCTCAACCTTCCTAATGCTGCAACCCTTTAATATAGTTCCTCATGTTGTGGTGACCCCCAACCATAAAATTATTTTCGTTGCTACTTCATAACTGTAATTTTGCTCCTGTTATGAATCGTAATGTAAATATCTGATATGCAGGATGTATTTAGGCGACCCCTGTGAAAGGGTCGTTCGACCCCCAAAGGGGTTGCGACCCACAGGTTGAGAACCGCTGCTCTAGAATATAAAGTTAAAATGTAGCTTGTCCAACACTGCCTAGCCGAGTCCACCAATTTCCTGAGCTCAGGGAGTGCTACTCCTCCCACTGCCCATCCCCCTCTGGCTTTGAAATGCCCTGCACATTTTTGAAACCAGCTTTCCTGGTGCCAAAGTGCCACGATACTGGAGCATTTCTTCAAGTGATTAGTCCTGATACCAGGACTCTGTGTGCTGCCCAATCCAACCCATGTGTTGGGGTGCAGCTAACCCAACACAGGTGGAGTGTCTGGACATACTTGTGATCCCTTGCAAGGCCTCAGCTCATGCCAAGTTTTTGCAGCTCTTTACATGGACACATATGTGGGAGAATCAGAAAAAGGGGTCCTCTCTTCTGGGTTGAACCTGAGCATGGCTCCTGCCTTTGATTCCTTTCTGGTGCCTGTGCCGTTTCATGCCACACAAAAGCAAGAATAGATATCAATGCTCGGTGTTGCCCTGACTTGTGTAGAGTAGTGCTGAGAATGATACAGTGGTGACCAACACGGCCTCAAACCCTGTCCTCACTGAGTTCCAGTCCAGTGAAGGAAATAGATATGAAAAAAATGACAGCCCAGAGTGGCCAGGGCTGGGATAGGGGAAGCACAGGTGAGAATGATTAGGACCTGTTTAAGCTCAAGGAACTTTGGGAGTCCAGAAGGGGCTCCTAACAGCCTGGGATGGGAGTTGGGAAGAGTCCAAGATTTCCTGAAGGCAGGGCCGACTTCATGGCAGTGTGATTTGTGCAGTCACACAAAGCCCCACTTTCAGAAGGACCCTGTGCTTGGTTGAATGACCTGCTATCACCATTGTGAAATTCTTAATGATTGTTGAATAAGATACTCCACATTTTCATTTTGCACTGGGTCTTGCACACTTGCAGGATATACAAAGAGGGCCAGGGGAAGAAAGGGATATACAAAGAAAGCCAAGGAGAGAAAACATTGTGTGCAAAAGACAAGAAAGGAGGACAGAGGATTGTATACTTGAAGAGCTGGCCAAAGTTCTGTCTAGCAAAGCATGGGAGAAGGAGGATGGTGACAGCTGAGCTCACAAAGGAGGCAGTCACCAGCTGCCAGGCTGAGGAGCTGTGACTCTATGCCAAGGGCACTGGGGAGTCATGGGGAGGGACAATGTCAGGTTCAGACTTTAGAAAGATCCATCTGGCTACAGTGGGGAGAGTGGCTGAGGACACACAGCAAAGAACAAGTTTGGAGTGGGGGGCTCAGTTGCCTGTGGAGGGAGTTGGGAGTGTCTGGCTGCTGTGGACAGCCTTATGAAGAGCCGTGAATGCTTGGGTGACAAACACCCCAATGTACCAGGATACTGTCTGGGGAGACCCCAAAACCACAGGATGAACCCACAGCTTCCTTTTCATTTGAAGATTTTCACTGTTGAGGCTGGGAGGAGGGTACACAAGGGTAGGTTAAAGGGTGTCACTGGTAAGCACTTGAAAATCTTTTTATTTGGGTACTCATGGATAGACTAATTGAGGTGAATGCAAAATTGGCAAGAATTTAGAGTATAAAAGTGAGACTTCAAATAACTTATTCTGGGTACATTCTGGCTTCGACTCTGTGGAACCCCTAGGGTGTACTTCCCTCTCCCCAGTCCTCTGGAAAAATATCAGTTCTTTGGGAACCTCCTCCTCATCCACAGTCCTAAATGCTGTGGCCCCAGGGCTGGGAACTGACCCCTTCCTGCTTCTCTGCTCCTTTCTGGGGCATCACCCCCATCCCCACATACATCACTGCCTTGATTTCCTTCTCTGCCGATGACCTCTACCATCTCTGTCCCAAGAACTGGCCCCTCTCCTAACCTCTTAGGTATCTCACACCCACTAGGTCCTAGGCTGGCCTTAGCTTTTTCCCAAACCTGAGGTGCCTGGGAAGGATCTTAAGCAGGTGAGAAATGAAGCTATTGTAAGAAAGTCAGTTCCTGCTTGAATTCTCTCCTACTCCTCCTACCAAAGGCAAGGGTTCTGGGGAGAAAGGGGACTAGGGAGTGCAGGCTCCTAGGTCCTAGGGGAGGAGGGGGCTGAAAAATATATCCAAGGTCCCTTGCCTTTCCCTGTCTGGAACCAGCTTTGTCCTTCCTCCATGGATCTTCCCGGACCCTCCATGAAGGTCCATTGTTCTCCAGTTCAGACTGAAATGGAGTGATATGGAAGCCATTGTCTTCTCTTGGGGAGCTCCACCCCAAATCCTCCAGACCTCCGCAGGTGATGTCTTTGCCTCTGTCTCCAGTCATTTCCATGACCTAAGGCGTTCAGGTCCCTAGTCCCCTATTCCCTCAGACACAAGTCAGTCTCCATTCCCCTGCTTTCTCAGAGTCAGGAGTCCTGGCTCCCTGCCCACACCTCCCCAGGACCCCAGAACTTCAAGCCTGAAGCCTCTCCCTCTGCAGCGGGCTCAGGAGTCTGCTCCTCTTAGAACCCATGGTATTCTTGCTTTGCCCCCTTTAATATCCTAATTCATAACTTTCTCTCTCAAACTTGGACCCTTCTCCCTCCAGACACAATCATGTCCTCCACACTCAAAGGCCCTTTTCTGAGAAAATCTCTTTCTCGTCTCTCTCTTGGTCTTTATGTCTCTCCCTCATTATTTTTTTTCTCTGTTCCTTACCTTGTCTGTCCCTCTCCCCACATCCATCTCTCCATCTCATTATAATTTTCTTGTGTTTTTCCTCTTTTTTAGTGTCTCTGCTCATCTCTGTCTCTCCCTCATAACTGTCTCTCTCCTCTCCTCTCTCTGTCCCTCCCTTCCCCTTCCCCCCTGCCCCGCTGATGGGGACATCTGTGTACAAGCCCAGGGAGTGTGCTGAGGGCCAGACCCAGACACCTGAGACTATATATGCCCCACAATGTGCCTGGCCTCAGCCCAGCTCTGGGCAGGTGAGACTCCCAGTCTTGCCTTTTCCCCTAGACTCCATGGTGGAGCCCTTCTCTGGGATTCCCCTTGTGCTTCCCTCTGGTCCTGCAGTGGGAGAGCTGGAGAGCAGGCTGGCAGGAGAAACTACATTGATGAGCCGGTATCTGTGCACCCGGCCATAGTTGCCCTCACACCTGCCCTGCTGAGCCCTGAGTTTCCTGTGCAGTGAGTGGTCCAGGGAGACACAGAACGCTGGTGAGCTGGTCTGGATGTGGACTGGTTGTGCCGTCTGGGGTTGGGGGGCTGCCTGGCTTGGATCTGTAGCAGTGAATTGGCCACAGTGGAGCTTCTTGGGACAGGGCCCTGGCCAGCTGTGACAAGGGACTATATTGGCAGATTCTGGGGCAGAGGACTTAGCAAACTGGTTGTGGGAAGACCAGGCAGGTCTTTCTGGGATGAATGGTCTAAAGGAAGTGACTCTATTTTAAGCTAATATTTATATAGTAGACATCGTTCCATGCCCTTTACATACATCATCTAATCTTCCCATAGCTCTGTGAAGGGTGTGCTAACACCCCCTTTTATAGATGAGACAATTGCGGTCCTGAGAAGTTAAGTACTTTGCCCACGTTCACCTGGCTAGAGAGTGGCAGGGTCAGAATTAGAACCTGATGTATTTGGCCTCAAAATCCACCTGATTATGCGGATTCCCTTCTCTCCTCTCCCGGTTTCCTCAGGCCCAACCGCTGCGTTTATGAGTTTGCAAGGCCATCACTTCATCCTGGCCGTCTTGGAGGAGAAGGCTGGGAAAAGCTCAACTTCCCGTAGTACGCATCGCCACCGCAATTGACAGCGGTGCTAAGTGACAGCGCGCAGCCGGTGGTGGCGCCGCCCTTACCACGCCTGAGCCTGCGGCCAGGGTGACTGCGTTGGTGCACCCACCTTGCGCTTTGGAACTGAGGGGCTCGCAGCGCGGCGGGCAGCAGGGTGCGCCTAGCTGTGTCTCGATGGGTGGGAGTGACCGCGTCGAGAACGCGTGCGGGCTGGGCGTGCCTCCCTGGACACAGCGCTAGGAAATTCCATGCAGCCTGTTGGGACAGTCGCTACACGATGGTGACGCCGTCCTGGCAGCCCCACGACTGGCATAGGAGTTTGCCAGGGTGGCCCGCGCTCGGCCCACACACCGGTGCCTCCCGCCTCCCGTGCCAGTCCTGCTGGACGCAGTCCAGCACGCTGCCCGCAGGCCACTCCTCATGCATCCTGGGCTCCCAGACGCTGCAGGTGCAGAGCGCAGATTTGCTAGGCTCTCGCGCGGATGGCTGCCGCAGTTGTTTGCAAGCGGGAGACAAGGCTGTAGCCACGAGTCCAAATAATTGCTGCCACAGGGTTGCTGGAGCTACGTCTACACGGTGCCCCCGTCCGTGCCTGCCGGTCTTCCTCATCCACAGCCAGAGACCTTGTGTATGTTCCAGCTGGCATCCCGGGCAGCCTGCGTTTTGGGGAGGGAGATGGCGTCCAAGGCCTTGGCGCCTTGCTGCGCTCTCTGGTGATGCATTCCTCCGCCTGCGTGCAAGTGCTTTTCCTGGCTATAGCTCAACCTGTGGCGGCATGGCCTATAATCCCTACTTCGCGCTCATGCCCTAGGTGGGCTCGCACAGCCGCAGCCTCCTGCGCCAGATGCAGCCGTGCTTTTCCAACGTGGACGTGCTGGCTCCTGGACCGGGATTCGCTGTCAGACCAGCACTGGCGTCTCCTTCCCTCTGGCTCTCAGCTGCCTCACTGACAGCATTCTGACCAAAGCCCTGGCTCAGGGCTTCTCCTGGGCAGAAGTGGCCTTTAGGCACTGCGCCATGCACCGCCTGTGGATGTGCAGGGCATAGGGAAGCTGATGGTAGGTGAGCAGCCCTGGGGCCCAAGAGAGTCCTGAGGTAAGCAGAGAGATTCCTGGGGATCAGGGTAGGAGAATATAAAACTTTATATTCATTTG